ATGAAATGGGTACTGGGTTCCCCCCAGCCCCGCTCACATTTAGTGTGTCATCAGATCAGACCCTAATATGAGAAAGGATCCCAAGAGAGGCAGGAATTCTCCATCCATGCATGGTTTGCTGAGTGCCCTTTGGAAGGGGGCTCTCCGACATAGGCCGGGCATCAGTAAGGGCGGGCAAGAAGACTAAATCCAAATGGGTGTCCTTAGGGTGTCATAGTTGGAGAAGTGCTGGTTTAGAGATGCAGCAAGAGACCCTTGTTGAAGCGAAACAGCTCTGTATCCAGTCAATGCCTGGGTGAACTTCTCCCCTCTTGTACACCAACTTGAATTAGGGCTGCCAAGTCCCCCGGGGGGCGGGGGTTTGCCTGCCCAAAGGGCCCCCAACCCACCAGTCTGGATCTGGCCGGTGGGGGGAACCCCACCACGAAAGTGCCCAGATCGGGCCGAAGTGACATCATCATGCTGGGCACGTTGCTGGGCGACGCTCTAGCAATCAGCCTGAAAACTCTATGAATGTCCCAGGCTGGGACCGACTCTCCCCCGCTGCGCCAGGTAAGGCACTTGGCAGCCCTAACTTGAATTCAACAATGGTTTGATATGAGTGCAGTAAATACATGTAATTAAGGAACAGAGGGAAAACGGTGTTCCTAATTTCTAACTCCTTCTCTGTAAATGGAACTGGAAGTGTCCCCCCCCCCTCCCCCCCAAGAATCTCTCAAGTGTTCTGTTGGGGAACAAACCAGATGGGAGGGGAAGATAAACACCAGACTTCTTATCTTGCAGAATGGAAGCAGCTTTGATCCTAATCTGAAACACAGTTCCGTGTGCAAATGCCTCCCCTTGCAAAAATTCTAAACATTGCAGGGAAAGTATCTTAAACATGCAGGAAAGAGACACTTCCTGTGTGGTCTTGCTGGGTCCCCGTTCTCCACTTTTCCTTGACCTGATCCAAACTTGGTCTCCACAATTATTTTCTTGTCTGCCTGACCTGCTTCTGCTCTTGAAAATCCTGGATTATGAAACAAAACTTCAATGCTAAGTGTCGATTTTGTTTTCTGCATTCAAAACGATGCGTATCAGAAGCACTCTTTTAAAAATACTTATGTGAATACGTATATACATATCTCTGCATCATGAAATGGAGAACTGTATGCAATTTGTTTTAGCCACTTAAGCAATTCCCAACAAAGCATAGATCTTTCCCCCCCATAATAGTAGGGCTCTGAATCACTCAGACCGATTTCACACAAGAGCTGCCCCGTGATCGCGTCTCCCTTTGCCCCACTTCTATTGGTCAATTACCCACTCGAAGCCGCATGGCCGCATTTTGACCTGTGGCTATGCCCGATTTTCCCCACAGTTTCCTGATCCTGTTTTTTGAGGATCACAAAACTGCGGGGAAAATCAGGCAAAGCCACGGGTCAAAATGCGGCCATGCGGCTTCGAGTGGGTAATTGACCAATAGAAGTGGGGCAAAGGGAGACGCGATCACGGGGCAGCTCTTGTGTGAAATCGGTCTCTGTGTCTGTTTGTTTAAATTATTCGCATCCCATCTTTGTCACAGGAACTCAAGGTGGATTATGCGGAGTCAGTCTGTGAATCAACAAAATAGGACAACATTCAATCAGCAATGCGCTAGGATTGTAGAAGTCTGGAACCAACCAGAAATCTAATAGGTAGAACTGAAGTGTAGCATAAGGATTCACATGACACATAATCCTCCTTACAGGAAGCTATACAGAGCAGTATAGACCACAGTCTAGGGTTGCCAGACCCCCAGTCTGGGCAGGGGTTCTCCTGATTTTTCAGGCTTCTACTCACTGCCGGCCAGCTGCCCAGCGGGGAAGCCATGCCCCCAAACAAGGATGTCCTGCGGCGATGTCCCCAATGTGATGACATCATGCAGAAGTGACGTCATTCTGTCGGGACATTGTGCAGCGACACACTGCTTTTGGGGCAAAACTCTATGGTTTTAGGCCCCAAAAGCCCATATAGTTTTACCCAAAATACAGAGCGTTGCTGTGCAACGTCCCAGACATGATTACATCACTTCTCCGTGACAACATCCCCGGCCACCCCTCGAATGCCCCCCAAATCCCCCCGCCAGCAAGCCGAGGGGACCTGACAGCCCTACAGTTGACTCTGGTCTTGTACAGCTGCAGTGGTGGAACGTGGAACATGATGTGCAGTCTGGGTAATCTGCAGCCAGGATTCAGATCCGCTCTGTATCAACCGTGTGTCCCCATTTACCTGTTTTTATTTTTACATTGTTTGTTTCACATGCCCAGTAAGTAAAATGCTGATCACAGATCTCTTCTGTTGAATTAGTCTGTTTGTTTTCTTTTTGCCAAAGTCCTTGTTCGTCTAGGACACCCTGGGGCCAGCCCTGGCTGCTAGCTTTCCTGGACCCTTGTTGGTACCGCCCCCGGGCTGCAGCTGGGAACGACGGAGTCAGTCATGCCAGCTGGAATCTACTTTCTCTTCTGTTTTGAGCAATGCCCCAAAGAGAGGAGAAATCTCCGCTCTCCATCTAATGAAGGCTTTGAAAAATATATTCCCAAGAATTGTGTGGTAGCCTGTACACGCTTGCCAAGGGCTGTGGCGATTAGTCTGTAGCCCTTGGGTTACCGTATCTCCATTCCCTGGTTTTCTGAGTAACTGCGCTACAGGGAGTTGGTGGTAATGCTGGGCTTTTGCAGCCTGGCAGGAGACCAGAGACAACTGCCTGCGTCATAAATTTAATATAGCCTTTCTGTTGAATGATTCCCAGTTGTCTTTTTGCGTAATACTGCAAATATCCATGACTCTGACTCTCCAAAAGAACACTGCATATTTGCTATTTTGGGCAAGGGTCTCCAGCACGCAGCAGGTTTATGAATATTACGGCCGGATACAGGAAAAGCAGAGGGTTAATTGGACGAGTTGCTGTGCAGTTAAGGATGGGAACCTAATTAATTAATGAACGGGAAATATTGCCTTCATTTATGCTGCTACCTGAGCGAGAAATAGGGTTGCCAAGTCGAAAATCGTCGGGAGCGGGGGACTCCCGTCCGGCATCCCATGCGCGCACGCCGCACGCACGTCACCAGGAAGTGACGTTATGACGCCGGGCACAGTGGGGGTGGGGCCACGACCATCCAAGGAGGAAACATAGAGTTTCCCCCTCGGATGGTCGTGGCCCTGCCCCCAGCGTGCCCGGCATCATAACGTCCCTTCCTGGTGATGCGCACGCCAGGGTGGGGTTGCCCCCGGGGCCCGATCCGCCGGCGGTGGGGAACGGGCCTCTGGGGCAGGGGTTTCCCCGCCCCCTGGGGGACTTGGCAGCCCTAGCGAGGAACCTGATGTGCAGTTTGGGTAATCGGCAGCCATGGTTCAGATCCACTCTGTATCGGCCATGTGTCTCCAGGAGTAGATAACTGTCCTCGGTACGGAATGCTAGGAGGTGGGAATATTCTGTGAACGTGAATGGGACAGAACAAAGTTTGAGTCCAGTGACACCCTTAAGACCAACAAAGTTTAATTCTGGGTATGAGTTTTCGGTGTGCATGCACACTTAAACTTTGTTCTGTTGCTTCAGACCAATATGGCTGCCCACCTGAATCTATATAATTGGGACAGGAGGACAGGTTATGCCTGTTTTTAGTAAAGGGGTAATAATAACTGCATATTAAATTGTCTTTGGTGGATGTGCTTCTTATGCTGGAAACACAGTAAGAATAACAATAAGGTCCTTGGTGTGCCGTCCTAAGCAGTTAAACCGTTCTAAACCTAAAAGGGTGTCACTTTGGCTGTGATCACACACACTAAATAGTCCCCTTTCAATCCACTTTCAGTGCACTTTTTAAACTGGATTTTACTGTTGTGAACTGGCAAAATCCAGTCTGAAAGTGCACTGAAAGTGCACTGAAAGTGCACTGAAAGTGGATTATTTAGTGTGTGTGATCACAGCCTCTATGAATTTTGAATAAAATTATAGGCAGACTTTATCCCTGTTCAGGTGAACTGTGTTTTTAAAACTACTTCTTAATATTTTAAATTGTTTTTTTAAAAGACAAATGGTCCCAAGACAAAAAAAGTAAGAAAACCAAACCGAAATTCCAGGGCATATTGGCCCTATCACTAGCAGTAGCCTTTCCCGTTACTCTCATAGTATAGATTTTTATATTTGGTTGACCTGTATTTTTTATCGCCTAGAAAACTATTGGCAAGTCAGTGTCCTCCTTCCATGGTATAGGTTTCTGTCTTTTGGGAGGGGGGGGGAGGGAGGGCTTGGTCTTGTTGGGTTTGGTTTTGTTGTGAGGCCTTATCCATAATTAAATCCCTCACATTTTGTATCTGGTCAAATTTGAAGGTGGGGGGATTTCACCTGGAGGAAAAAAAACCCTGAAAGGGGAACACATACATGAACACATGAAGCTGCCTTAATACTGAATCAGACCCTTGGTCCAGTTTTGTGTAGTGGTTAAGTGTGCAGATTCTAATCTGGGAGAACCGGGTTTGATTCCCCACTCCTCCATTTGCACCTGGCTGGATGACCTTGGGCAAGCCATAGTTCTGGCACAGCTTTTCTGTCAGAGCTCTCTCAGCCCCAACTACCTCACAGGGTGTCTGTTGTGAGGAGGGGAAGGGAAAGGAGTTTGTAAGCCGCTCTGAGACTCCTTTGGCGGGGTATAAATCCAATCTCCTCCTCCTCCTCCTCCTCCTCCTCTTCTTCTTCTTCTTCTTCTTCTTCTTCTTCTTCTTCTTCTTCTTCTTCTTCTTCTTCTTCTTCTTCTTCTTCTTCTTCTTCATCATCAATATTGTCTATTGAGACCAGCAGCAGCTCTCCAAGGTCTTGGGCAGAGGTCTTTCACATCACCTCCTACCTGATCCTTTTAACTGGAGGTGCCGAGGATTGAACCTGGGACCTTCTGCAGGCTCTACTAGTGAGCCACAGCCTTTTCATGTTGCAGAGCTGGCCAGGTTGGGTCCACCTGATGTTTTGCTTGTGTTAGTTACAGGACCCTCATCAGACCCACGTACAGGATCTCCTACAGAACGGTGACTGCCCTGGAATGGCGCTGCTGTCCTGGCTTCACTGGAAACAGCTGCGAGGAAGGTAAGTCCCAAGTTGGACTACATTGGATGCCTGCTCAGGTCTGCTGGGACTTGGTGGAACCTTCAGCTGTACTGGTTTAGTATGAACAGTGTCTCTGTTTTTCAGGGTGTACAGCCGGTGCATACAGCTTCTTTTACCATTTCATTAATTTATTATTAATAATTAGTTTTGGGTAGGAGTCCCCAACATGATGCCCGCCAAGTGTTCCTAGAAAGTGGGCAGGGCCAGATTGAGCTTTGGCCCATTAAGGCTTCTGATTGGCCACTGGAAATACGATTGTCTGTGTAATATTTTTTTTTTAAACACCACATTGACTTGGCAACAGCTGCCGGCCCACCACAAGGATCTTCACCGTGTGACTGAAGGTAAGCTGCTGCAGCGGCAATTTGTAGCTGGCTTCACCTCCTGCAGCAGCCATTTTGTGCCCGCAGCCACCGTGCTGTGTCAGAATTCCAAAGAGGCCTGCAGTCTCAAAAAAGGGCTTGGGATCCCGGTTTAGGGTTTGCTGTTGGACTCAGCACTACTTCCAGATGTTCAAGCATTAGAGGTGGCTGACTCTTTGGCTCACTTGCGATCGTATCTGGAATCATCCGGTCCTACCTGTAAATTGTGTATCTGTGTTCCTTCATCAGGTACACAGATTGTAAGATGGTTGAAGTAAGATGGACTCTGTCCCCCAGCTTCTTCATAAAATGTGGCACCTCTGGTGGCAGTGGCATTGAATCATGGTTTGTGGTGTCATTGGTGGCTTGTCGACTCTTCAATATATAATTACTAGGAAATAAGGCCTGTTGCGGAATAAATGCAACATTATCTAGAAAGAGTAAGCAAGGAAGAGAAAAGTAAGGCCGTATTGAGGTTCGTGGAGGTCCCACGCAGCGATCTGCCTGGCCGCCCGGTCTCTCAGTCGCTCACGTTATGTTGCCTATCTGCCGGGGCGGCCCTATTGTCCCATGGGCCGGTCAGCTCCATCCCTGCAGCCTCCCATGTCAGCACCACCACTGCGGTGTCCCCCCCCCCAGCAGGAGCCGTGTTGCTGCCGCCCCCATCCTCTCCCCCCGCCTCCCTTTCTTCCCCATGACTGGCGCTTGCGTGAAGCTGCAGAGCTGGCTCCGGAGTGGGCGGCCATCCCCTGTCCTCCACCTGGGCAGTTTCTGCCGTGCTCCGACTGTCGGCTGTGCGGCTTTTCCACAGTCCTCCTCCCCCACCCTGCCTCTCAGCCATTGTAAATAGCGCAAGGCCGGCAACAGAGCGGCACGTGAGGTGGAGGCAGGTTGAGCAGCCGTCGGCGGGGAGGAGAGGTGAGTCGGTGGGGCAGTATGAGGAGGGAACGCTGGGTCTGTGCTCCATTCATGGGCCGCACAAGAGATGGGGGGGGTCGGCAGGAGAGGACTGAAGCGAGGGCTTCCCTCCCCAGTCCCGATACCGTGCGTGAGCCGGAGGGAAGGAGGCCCCGGGCATGCCCAGCCCCACGGAGAGTCCCGTCTGCCCCTTCCACCTCTGTGGGCAGGACTTCAGCCATGCAGGCATTGGCACACCGTGTGACTGACAGGTTTGGGAGCCAAAAGCTGTGGGAGCGTGGGCAAGAGGGACACGAAAACTCTTTTCTATATAAGGAGAGATATGCTGATGGATTTTATGTACGGAGTGGGATTGAGCTTTAAGGGGAAAGGGAGGAGGCCAATGAAAACTCCTTTGCCTAAGTTATCAACATCTGCCCCCAAAATGGAAAAGTCAAGAAAGCAGAGTTGTGTGGGCTGGCTGTTTCCAGTGTGTTATGTCTTCTTTCAACTAGGGTGATCATCGATTTCCCCCCTTTCTGTTGCAACTCAGTTCTCTTGCAGCTCCTAAATATCGACCTTCATATTTTCTGAATTAGGTAACATGTAACAGATGTGTAAAACTGGTCCCTCTCTTTCTGCTGACATTGCCATCTTCCTGCATGCTGGTACAACATATTTGAGGTACTTATCCTTTAAAGCTGGTTTTGGTATGCAGATCTGGATCCATCATTGTGCACTAGCATTTCCTGCCCTGCACTGGCAATTGCTGGGAGATTTGGGGAGTGGTGCCTGGGAAGGGTGGAGTTTCAGGGGATGTGACATCACATTCTCCGTGACACCTGATAATTTCTGTAGTCTTTATGGTAAAGACCCTAAATATTGGGAAAATTCCTAGACTGTCATGGAGGATGTCAGTTCCAGATGGACATTTGGAGAATCTGATATCACTTCTGGGTGATGTTCTTGGCATCCCTGTAATCTTTATGGTTGTGGGGAGAATTTCTGTAATCTTTATGGTTGTGGGGAGAATTTCTGGGAATCTGCCTCTCAGAGCTCCCCCTTAAAAGCTCAATTCTTTATTGTTTTGCCACTCACCAAGGCAAGCACACAACACTGGATTTTCTTAGAATAAACTACAAGGCTAAACTCCTTAAACAATCTCTTTCTCTCTCTTTCTCTCTCTTTTTTAGCCCCCCGAAGGGGAATCTTTTGTTTGCATTTCTATAAACTACAACAGAAATTGGGGAGGGAGAGTCTACAATCTATAGGAAAAAGTAAAGAGAACCTAATTAAAAACCCAAGAATGGAGGTTTTACAATGCTTAAAACATAGTTGTTACTCTTATACATTTGCTTTCAAACATGAAGAGTGCCAGCCAATCATGGCTTCTGCTGACAAAACCTGCTTATCTGACTGAACAGAGAGTAATTCCAAAGCTATAACACACATAATCACAGCCCTTAAGAAAAATTTAGCATCTCCACGCTTTACTCCCCCCCCCCCCGGCAAAATCTTTAAAACCAATGTTCCTTCAGTAAGAACATTACAACATGTTTTCCTTCTTCCGTCTTTGATGTACCTTCTTTCTTCAATTATCTTTTAGTTTTTATAAGTCCGGATCTGTCCATTCATGATATAAACCAAGTTCCTTTTTTCCTGGGACACCTTCGCTTCCTTAAATGTCTTAGATCAAAAGAGTCTTTCCTTTTGTTGCAATAACAACACCCTCATTGGAGATTCCAACCTTTCTCTTAGCAAGCAGATCTTATAAAGTTAGGGTAGCGATCCCTTTACTCCAGGGGCCCACGATTCACTTTAAAGACAGAGTCTATGGTTAGGTCACAACCTAACTTTCCACTGTCCTCCTTTCTGAAGAAAACATTGATCCCGCCTCCGTCTTCACCTGTCGTCGCCATCTTTTTGGGATGTTTACATCAGCTGAGAAAGAATGCCAAAGTCTCTAAGGTCTGTTTAAATGCTCCGCTTTCTTTTAGAAAAACTCTCCGCTACAGTCCATCGCCACAGTTTGATCAGTCCCTCCCTCCTTGCTTTCGCATTTGCTTAAAACGTTGGGAGATAGGGCGTCCCCTCCCCCTTTCCGTTTATACGCTTGTAGTAGAGGGACTTCACTTCTAGGCTTTAGTGTCTCGTTTCAACGACAACTCACTCATCAATCCTTAAATCGATCCACCAGGTCCTAAGACGGCCCCTGGGATCACGCTAGGCAGAGAAGATCGCTAAACCTCCAACTGCTTGTTCCAGTGGTCGCTTCTAGTCCAGTACTGGGAATCAGGGCAGGACCTTCAGGGCAGAGAGTAGCCCCCCTGTACCGGCTGCCGGCCGTAGGTAGAGCTCTCCAAAGCCCCCTGGCTAGAAGCCCATTGGCTATGGGATTCATGGGGGAGCGTGCACAATCACGCTCCCTCCTAATCCCCGATTCATGGCACACGTCTCTCGGAGGACCCCAGAGACGCCGCCATCGTTCAAAGCGCCAAAACCAGAAGACCAACAATATCTCTTTATTATAAACTATCAATGTTAAATACCAGCTACGGTCCAGCCTAGTGGCCAAAGAGGCACCTGGCCAGAATCTAAAACAATGCCTAAGGTAACCCCACAAAGCAACCAAAAGTCCCTCCCACAAAGGAGAATTCTCGGGCTAAGAATGAGAACCTTGGGAGTGTAAAGTCTCTCCAAGATTCCAGACTGCAGCCCTGAACTCTCGCTGAAGACCCTAATTTATACACAAAAGATCAATGATTTCGAAAGCAAGCATTCCAAAGTTTTCAATGTCACACTAACTCACATGCAAAACAACATTGAATTACACTTAAAGAATTACATTTCAGTTACAAGATATGTTTTCTTTTCTTGGTGTCCTAAATGCTCTTTGTTTGAGCTCTGAGAGATAAGCCAGGCTCTAGCTGCTATTGCAATTAAGGAACAAGGAGTGAACAAATTGCAATTTCCAGTGTTGACACCTCTAACCATTTGGTCTGCCAGGCCTTCATGGGAAAGAATGCTGACTGCTTTCTGTATACATGACTAGGGGGAGAAGCTTTGAAATGCTCTCTGGGAGTTTGGTTCTGCAATATGTGTAATGTATTTTTGATGTTAAGTATCAGAGATACAATTTTCTGATCCAAACAGGAAAATTCTCACAACAATGGTCTTTACCACAGAGATCGGAGAAGTTCCTAGAGCGTCACCATCAACACTAACACCCCATTTTCCTCCTAAAATTAATTGAGGGCATTTGACTGGGGCTGTGGGTGAAGGTTAACCCACTGTGGCCAGGAAGATGGTAAGCCTACATATTATCAGCAGTTGGCTTAATTGTGCAATACATTCCCCATCCAAAAGCCTCCCTTTCTCCAAGGAGCATAATGACTATCCTGTCTATGAATAATTTCTGTGCATTGCATGCAGAAGCAGGGCTATTTTTGGGCAGGAACGTGCAGGAACGGAGTTCCGGCTGGCTCCCGAGTTGGCCACGCCCAGCAGGAACTCATTAGTATAATAGGCCACACCCAACAGCAGAAACTCATTAGGATTGGCTACATTAGGGGTGTGTGGCCTAACATGCAAAGGAGTTCCTGCTACAAAAAAAGCCCTGGGTTTTGACAACAAATAAGGTAAACAGAATAACAAGCAAAAGGTGGGTGTGGCTGGATGACCACACTTCTGGTAACATGGGGGTGTGGCCTAATGTGCTAA